AAAAAAAAAATCTACAAAAAATAAGAGAACTACTCTTGGAAACCCCACAGATAGAACAAAAGGCAGCAGCCTTCAAAACCCAGTCATTCATTAAGAAATATCAGGTGTCCTAAACTTTATGTAAATAGGTAACTGTTAAGCAGATAAGGCTCTTTTTAAACACTCATTCTGTCTCTATAATGCTACATCCGATATTGTGAAAATACAGTCTGCTCTAAGAAAAGAAGTACTCATTCCCTTAAACATTGTAACACCTGATAAATCTCACATTAAGGATGTATCAGTGTATTTATAAAGTATATCATCTGTAGCAATATGACTAATAAATTAGTAGACATACTTTTTCAAAAGGTTTGATTCTGGTAGCCCTAAATGAACTTTAATTTCTGTACTTGCAGAAATTTAAAATATCACTTACATTCAAGTAGTTTTTAGTTTTATATATCACAAAACTTCCTCACAATGAATGGATTAATTAATGAAACAAAAGTTAGATTTCCCATACTACGGGTATCTAGCAACCTCCTTCACCCAGCTCCCACAGACTTCTCTCACACACTCTCACAAACTATCTCATCAGTCATCTAGGGAGTCTGAGGGATGGGTTCTTCTTTCTCTTATACAACAGATGAAACTTTAGCACATAATGTGCTCAAAACATGTGTTCAACTAATTATGAAAAAATGAATAACTTTTTATCATCATTTTTCCTTCAGTCTGTGTGACAGAAGAACACAATTTTCATAAAGAACTTGGCGAATCCTTCTAATTGCTGTAACAAAGGCACCATCCCCTATTTACATTCATATAGGGCTACCAAAATCAAACCTCTTTAAAAAAGTGTTTCAATCTATCATCAGAGAAGAGTTTTTCTCCTACAGCGATACAAATAAATGTCTTGGAAGTCTTTCCGTAACTTTAGACTTTCCCTACAATATTGGGGCAATATTTCAAAATAATTTAAGATTTGTGGCACCTCCTGAAAGCTGGTGCTCATACAATAACCTGTTTACGATCACAATGCTGTCAATGGCATGCTCACAAAAGGACGAATTCATGCTTAACAAAAGGACGAATTCAACTTAATACAAGAAAAAATACCTCAGGAAGGAACATATTCTTAATCCCGCAAATAAACATTTTTGGCAGGTAACAGTAATTCAAATCTCTCCTGTTTTGACCGTCACTACCAACTTTTGCCATGAAATGGAGGTTAGGGATCGGACTTAGAGCACTAAGAAAGGTAAGAGACTGACTTACTCTCCTAGAACTGAAAGAGGGAAGAGAAACCAACGAAGAGAAACACGGTAAAGAAAGGGTAAAAACAGCCCTAACGTGCCAAAGGATCTACTTAACTAGGGGGGCAAAAACCGCGAAGCGATCTCCCAGAAATCACCCGCGCCCGAAGCCCCGAAGACTGAGGAGCGAACTCCGAAGTTAGGAAGTAGGCGCGGAGTCCGTGACAATGAGGAGCGCTCCTCTCTAGAGGCTGGGGCCGGGAGAAGCCCGCGCCTCGCTCGACTCCTTCACCCGTGCGCTCGTCAGCGGCAAGACCCACCTGGAGACGGCCATGGCCGGGCGCCGACGGTTCGCAGCGCCCGCGAGCTACGCGCCGCGCAGCTGAGGCGCTAGTTTCCAGAGAGCAGAGAGGCGCAGGCCCAGGCCGCGGGGCAGAGCGGAGCGGCCGGTGAGGTGCGGGGCGTCCGGGCGCGGGCCCTCGGGCATCTACCCCGCAACCTACCCAAACGCGTTCCCGCCACGGCCGAGCACCGAGGGTCTCAGACAGCGTCGGAGGCGCCGGTCCTCCGACCCGCACGACTTCAAACCGGGTGCCCCCAGCCCCGCTCTTTGCTGACGCAGGCGTCGGCACGCCGGACTGAGCGTCAGCGCGCCGGAAGTGACGTCAGCTCGCCGCGAGGGGCTGTGCTCCGAACGTGAACGAAAGGAGCCTGAGGTTTTTGGCTGTGGAGTTCCGTGCCTGAAAAAAGCCAAACAAAAAAGCTTTGTGCTGATCTGGAGAAGACCGCTATTCTTAAAACGAGGAAGGGCAAATAAATGAGTGTTCCTGGCTTTTAAGAGAAGGAAAAAGACGATGTAGCCAAAGTTCTGGACCTTCCAATGCTCTGGGCCAGGTGGTGATGCTAGTGGGAAGAGTGAAATCAAGAAAAATAAGCTATGGCACCGAAGAAATGTCAAATGTTTGCCTTTATTTGCCAGAAGTTCTAGATAGATGTTGAAGAGAAAGTCTTCTGCCCATGATTCCCCCACAGCCCTGTATGGGAGATTGAACCCAGGGGCCACAGAGCAATACGCCTAGCCTTTCTCATGTTTTATTTTGAGACGGGGTCTCACTAAGTTACCCAAACCTTAAATTTTCATTCCTCCTACCAGGGCCTCCCTAGTTTGTGGAATTATAGGTGGGCAGTATCACCCTGGCCAAGTTTTATTCCCTAATCAGGGAATAAAAATAGTTTTTGTTTTTGTTAATACCATCATTTTTTCAGCCAACCAAGTTTGGAAACCTCTAAGTCTTCTTGGAAACTTTTTTTTTTTTTTTTTTTTTTGCTTACCTAGGTACTTAAATTCATTGAATTTTAAACATTAGGCTTTTAAATACTTTTCTATCACATAGTACAGACCCTTGTCACCTTATTTTTATGCTAGCAATTGAAGTAATATTTCTCCAATTTCTTCAGTCAAGCCTATTTTATAAACCACTAACACATTAATCTTCAAAAAGGACCTATTATGTTGCTCCTCTGCTTATAAAACATGCCCACTGGGCCGGGTGTGGTGGCGCATTACCTTCCAGCACTGGGGAGGCTGAGACAGGAGGACTGCTGCGAGTTAGAGGCGAGCTTAGGCTACATAGTGATTTCAAGGCCAGCCTAAACTACGTAGTAAGACCCTGTCACACACACACAAAAACGAAACAAAAAATGCCCATTGACTTCTTCTTACTAAGACACCTGTGAAGAGTCTTCCTTTCATCTGTAACGTGAAGCTGATGAAGAGCACTGTAAGGCCGGGTGTAGTGGCACACGCCTGTAATTCCAGCACTCAGGAGGCTGAGGCAGGAGAATTATTGCGAGTTCGAGGCTAGCCGGGGCTACAAAGTGAGCTCAAGTCCCGCCTGAACTGCATAGCGAGACCCTATCTCAAAAAAAGAAAAAAAAAAAAAAAAAAAAAAAAAAAGCACTATAGAAAGCTGTGGAAATAAAATAAGGTCACAAATCTAGAAGAGATTATAAGAACTTTGTAAACCATAAAACAGACATATAAAAGAAACTAACAAATACCTGATCTGTATCAGACATAATTTAGATTACCCCATACAATGCATAGACCAACACTGTGAAGTAAGTTTTAACCTTTACGTTACAGTTGAGGAAACTGAAAGCTTCAGCAATTTTTCCAAGAACCAAGCTAGTAATACTGCTTATTGTCCATCCACACTACAAGCACTGTATTTGTTTGGCATCTCTGTCAGATACTAATGGACACTATTTATACCAGTGGTGGTGAACCTATGGCACACATACTGCAGCAGGCTATTTCTAAAGGTTCACCATCACCAGTTTATACCACTATGCAAAATGTGATTGAGTTGATGTATCTTCACATTTTCACATTGATTCCCTCTCATTTTCCTTGTCAATTTATTGCCCATCATTCATTCATAAGCAGGTACTATTTACTGATCATGTACAACATTAATTTATTTAGCTAAAGTAAGCATCTCTGTGAGTAACTTGGGCTTCAAAAGAAACCAAAACAGACAAGGTGTCTACTCTACTTGAAGTTACATTGTAACAGAAGTAAAAATAGAGTAAACAGAAAAACACAAAATGTGTATTGTTGAGCAAAACAATGCTGGAATAGGAGAGTGACAGTGTGATGGCATACACCCGTAATCCCAATACTTGGGAGGTGTTTTGTTTTTTTGTGGTTTTGTTTTGTTTTTTCTTTTTGTCTTTTTAAGGCAGGGTCTCACTGCGCAGTTCAGACTGGTCTTGAACTCGCTTTGTAGCCCAGGCTGGCCTCAAACTCGCAATGACCCTCCTGACTCAGCCTCCCGAAGGCTGGGATCCCAGGCATGCACTACCACGCCCAGCTAGTACTTGGGAGGTTGAGGCAAGAGGATGGCAAGAGGATTGCAAGAGTCAGGTCAGCCTGGACAACACAGAGTGATCCTGTGACAGGGTGACACACAACTGTAATCTCAGCACTGAGGAGGCTGAGACAGGAGGATTGCTGTGAGTAAGGCTAACCTGAACCATAATATAGTGAGACCTTGTCTCAAAAAAAAATTGTGATCCACACTAAAGCAACAAAAAAATGCAAGCACCAAAGTTCAGAATACATTTGTTTTGGGCTGGGGATATAGCTCAGTGGCACAGCGCCTATCTCGCAAGCATGAGGTCCTGACCTGGATTCCTAGTGTTAAATGCATTTATTACAGCACAACGCGAATTGAATTATGAAGATTCATATGAGAAACAACTATGTCAGTTATCAAGTGCATACATTGTTCAGGTACTGTGTTTGCCTCAAGCACTGCCTCAAACTCACTGCGATCCTTCTGCCTCAGCCTCCCGAGTGCTGGGATTGCAGGCATGCACCACCAACCCCTTCAGAACTTTCATCTAGGAAAAATAATAATATTCATGGAATTGTGAGGGTTAAATTAGACAATGCATATAAAACATTTAAATGACTGCTAAAATAAGCACTTAAACATATTGTTGACTACACTGATTATGTGTACGTATGTGTGGTGCTGGCATTGAATTTAGGGCATTGCTCATGCTAGGTAGAGCAACATCAAGTCACACCACCAATGGAGATCATTCTTTTTGTTAACAATATGTTCTTAAACCAGCATGGTAGCCTGTTATCCCAGTGCTCGGGAGGCTGAGGCACGGGGATCGTTGCGAGTTCAAGGCCAGCCTGGGCTACAAAGTTATCTCAAGGCCAGCCTGATCTGCATAGTGTGACCCTGTCTCAAAAAGAAAAAAAAAACAAACAAAAATATGTTCTTAAGCATGGGGTCTAGTCCTTCATGTGTAAAATGAAAAAATAAGTCTAGAATAGTGCTTTTCCTTCTCTGAGTTCTCCCACACTGGACCCATAGACACTCCCTTTGTGAAAGTGGGGTATAGATAGGTATAAAGAAAAAGAGCATTGATCTCTACTGGGCTCTGGATGCATAACTTAGTGTCAAGCCATCAAGTGGAGTAGTTGTGCTTTTTGTCTCATATGTGATCTGAAAAGCTCTGGATTAGCATAGCTGTTTTTGAGCCAGATCCTGGCACCAAGGTCCTGGATTCCAGCATATGGTGGTGTAGCCTTCTCATTTTTCCCATGGATACATGCCCTGTTGACCCTGGTAGTCAACCAGACAGGGGCATTTGCTCTAATGCTTAGTGATTCTAAACAAGACCTTTTGGGGAAAGTTGAAATCATGCCCTTGCTTCAGGACCTCTGAGTCACATCTGGATTAGATAGAGTGGGAATTCTAAAAACCTCCTGAATCTAGGCCTTTTCTGAGGTAAGATTTAAACCATTTGTTTCCCACTCAGGGCAATTTTTAGAAGAATACTTTATGAACAACAAAGGGTTGTGCACAGATGGGGAGAATTCCTTTATGAGGATGACTATGTTGCTCTGGAACCAGCAAGGCCAAAGGACAAGAGCTGTCCTTCATGCTAACCCACACCATACAGCAGGCGCTGTGCCATGTGATTGATGAATCTTGACAGAGGAGGACACTGAGACTCCAAGATCACGTGGAGAGGAAATGACAAAGCTGGGTCCTGGTCTGCAGCTCCTGTCTCCAAGCTGAGCCCTGTGAGGCTGTCAGACCTGCTTTCCTCATGGTCCATGAAAGGGGCTGGTAAAGGACTGTTACAGGCTTTTAAGACCTTGCCCTCACAGTTCCCTATGATGAATGTTATCACTATGTATATCTAAAATGTACCGATAAAATAAAAAGGAAAAAAAGGTCTTGCCCTGTAAAAGAGTATTCAAAAAGTTTTTTTAAAAAAATTTTTTTTTGAGAGAGGGTCTCACAATGTAGCCCAGGCTGGCCTTGAACTCATGGCAATCCTCCTACCTCAGCCTCCCCAGTGCTGGGATTACATGAATATACCATGTCTGGTTTTTAAAAAATTTTTACACTTTGGCATGCTTTCTCTTCTTTGAAAACTGCTTTCTATATAAGTCCAATCTAGAAAAAAAGAGTGGGGTCACTACGGTGAAAGGTGGCTATGGGGTCACCTGGGGCCCCAGGGTCTCTGGAGGACTACTGCAGCTCACTTAGCCAGTAGTTTGGCACTTACTGTGAAAAGCTCAGGAGGCACCATGTTGGCTAAGACTCTAATATTGGGTTTGAAGGAGCCAAGGAGTGATCATGGCAGATTACCTGCTGGGTTGGCACCTGGGGATAGAGCTACAGTATTCCAGGCCTGCTATATGCATTAGGTACTGGTTTCTTTATCCATTTTATCACCTGCCTCACTCCATCTACTGACCAGCAGCCATTACCTGCAACTCTTGAAAGGTTAAAGGCTGCAGCATCTCACTTTTTTTTCTACTTGCCCTTATGAAAGGCATTATCTTGGTATAGGCTCAACAGCAAGTCTGTACTGTTGACCTCAATTCAGAATAATTCATAATGGTATCATCAAATGAACTACCTTTCCATAGATGTCCAGGATCAGTCTCATAGAGAAGTGATGATATACACAGTATTTTTTTGGTCTTTCTGAGACAGGGTTTCACTATGTAGTTCAGGCTGGGCTTGAACTCACTTTGTAGCCCAGGCTGGCCTCGA